ACTGGACTCCAGCTACATGACGCGCAGCTGGAAACACTTCCCGCAAGTCGAGCTGCCCGAGATTCACAGAATTTACAGAAAATGTTACATTTTTGTGATTTATATCGTTATCGGGACGATAGAATTCTTATATCGGGATATGCGATTTTGGTCATATCGCACAGCCCTAGTATAGCCAGTAAAAACGAGGCAGAATACGTTAGCTCCAAACAGAAGGACTGTACAAAACAAATCGAGGACCTTATTCCTAAATGAGGGGCTACCCCTGTAGCACGGACATGGTTTGGTTATGAAAGTATGACACGGACCAGAAAACTGTACTATGCAAATTATGCCGCAAACCAGTACCCAGCACAGACTCAACCACGACAAACCTCGTCTACTAGCTACGCAAGAATCACGAGAAAGAGTGTGAAGAGAGCTTATGGATGAGAAGCAAAAAATAGCCGTCAGATGCTCTAAATAAACTTTAGACTCAAACGTTACAACAGGCTTTTCCCCGCAGCAGTTTCATGCATCGGTCAAAACACTCGACTCCAGGTACACAACGCCCAGCTGAAAACACTTGACAGAAGTGGGGCTGCCAGAGATTCACAGAATTTACAGAAAAAGCCCTATTTTGTGATATATATTGTTCTCGGGATGAGAAATGTATTTTATCGGGATATGAGATTTTGGTCGTATCAACATGCTTTCAGGCCCCATATTGAGAGATTTCCACAGGGAAATTCACCAAACACAAGTTAAACACTTGGAATGAACTCCAGAGCTTTTATCTGCTCAGTTTAATTTTCCAGGTAGTTTTGACTCCTTCAATTAAAGCTGAAAGTCTGTACTTCAAACATGCTTGATAGGTTGATTTAAAATCCACTGCCATGGTGTACAAAAGAAAAAGGAAATCAAATTTGTGCCGTCATCCAAAATCCTTCTGGACCCGACTGTGTATGCGTCAGCTCTGAATAGAGTCATCGTTGCTTCCTGCTGCTGCTGTTAAGACACGAAAGGAAACAAAATAAACAAAAAAGGAAAACCCAAAGGAAACGTGTCAGCAGGCATCGTGAACGATTACTTCCCGCTTAGATGATTCTCAGTTCCACCACTTGATGTCGCTGTGACTGTATGTGTGAATGAGTGATCCAATGAGTGAATGTTGAGACTACGTGTTGATGGTTATTGCTGTGTGTTGGTGTTTGCAGTGTTCTGTTTAAAAGCATGCAAAGCCCCAACAAGAGCAGTTCATATCACGGACAGTCTACTGTACATGCAGCTGAGTGTTGAGTTACTGAATAATGCCACATTTCTGCAAACTGAACCATCTTTTTTACTGGCGGGTGACTGATATGAATGATAGAGAATAATTCGATGTAATAACTGCAGAGCCTTTGATTTTTCACCGTGCACAAACCTGAAGCACAAACTGAGTGAACAGCGGCGATCTGTTTGTGTGACAGGTGCGTTTCGTGTGCATCGTCACCCTGGGCGTCGTGCACATCTTTTGCACCACGCTGCTCATCCGGAGACCGAACATGATGGCGTTCCGTGTGGGCGGAGCCTTGGAGTGCCTTCAAGAGCAGTATTTCCTGCTAAACCTGTGTTTCTCCATGGTGACCTTTGACCTGCAGGCTCAGGTACACCCACATTCTCCTTTTGTTTTTTACAGTAGAAATTTTTGGCATTTCACACATGCAGCATGTCGCCCTGCACGTGCTCCTCGTCATATGCTTTTTTTCCTTGGTGTTCAGCGTCCTACAGTGAGGCGAGTTTGTTTTTAACAGAGCTGATGAGCGGCTTCGTGACGTTGTGCTGTTGGTGTGACCTTTTCAGTTGTGCCTGTGTGTCCTGATCTTAACAACGAGCCTGGCCGCGACTGGTGCCAACAACATAATCGTGGGTGTCGGAGTGTTCTGGGCCATCCTGACTACAGTTGTGGGCGCTGTTGCGGTGAGACCTTTTTATACATCCTCTGGTCACAGCAGAGAGTCACAAGTGACAATAAACCAAAAAAGAAAAGAAACATAGATGCACTTTAAACAGTCACAAGCTCAAGAGCAGCCAATTGTAACCACTTGTTTTTGTTTTTTAGGTTTTAAAGGAAAAGAAAGTTTTGGTTTGGATCTTTATGGTGCAGAACGTTCCTCAGGTGGCATTCTTTGTGTATCTGATGTACACGGTAGGCTGAGATTTCCCTCCAGATATGTTCAAATAATTATAAAAAGTTAATGGCCAGCTGTTCCCTTCAGATATTTTATCTAACTACACATTTTGTTGTTCCGTTTGTGTGAGTGTGCTTTATGAAGTGAGTCTTCCTAATAATAATCCTGCATAAATGGCTTAGGAATGATTGTCCCAAAGTACGTCACACAACTCGCACTTCAAATATGACCGACCGGTGCCTTTGTTGGGGGCTATCTTTCTATTGAGGATCAATACACATTTTATCATATCTGTGAGAATTTATAATAGAAAATTGTGCCAGTGTGACTCAGTGATGAGTTTTTTGGGACAATGTGGAAAATGTAAATAAAAACCAAATCCAATGACTTGCAAATCTCATGAACTTTATTTACAATAAAACAGGAAAGTTTGGACCTGGACAGCAAAAGTCTGTAAAAGTAAGTGGCACTAAAAAGAAACAGCTGGAGGAACATTTTGAAACGAATTAAGTTAATTTTCAACAGGTCAGTAACTTGATTGGGTATAAAAAGATATTCTTAGCGAGGCAGCTTTTCTCAGGAGTAAAGATGTGCAAAAAAATTGTATCTACAAGTTATTAAACAATTTCAGAATAATCTTCTGCTATGTAAAATTGTAAAGACTTGGAACATCTCACATCTACAGAACATAAAATCATCAAAATATTCAAAGAATTTGGAGAAATCTCTGTGCACAAGGGACAAAGACTAAATCTCCGTCCGTCAGGCAGCACTGCATTAGAAACAGGTGCGATGCTAGCATGGAAATCACTGCAGGGGCTCAGGAGCAATTACAGAAATCTGTCAACACATCCACAAATATGAACTTGATCCAGAAGGGCCACTATCTTCTCCTCGCCAAAGCTCATTTAAAATGGACTTATGCTCCCATCAAGGCAAGAGATTTTTCAGCCTTGGATATTTCAGCATAGTTGAAGAGTCTGGGTGCGGTAGTGACTTCCCTGCAGTCCAGGTTGTTCCCCAGTTTGGTACGCGATGAAATAAAAAATACAACAAAGAAGACCCACAACTGTGGAGCAGCTAGGATCCTATATCAGACAGAAATGGGACAAAACTCCAGCAGCTGATCTCCTCTGTTCCCGGACAAAATATCAGGTGTTGTTAAAAGAAGAGGGGATGCTGCAGTGTGCTGTCAAATTCAAAATGAGAAGTGGGACATTTTCTCAGTTCAAACATCAAATATGATTTTTCTATTATGGGATTACGAGATTTGCAAATCACTGGATTTTTTTAAATTTACATTTTACACACTATCCAAAATTTGTTGGCACTGGGGTGTAAAAGTCCTCGTAGTTTCATAGACTGTATATATCAGATGGCAGAGCCACTGATGTCACCTGTTAGTTTCTTGGCTACCTTTTTGAAGCCTCAAGGTTCAAATGTGGACATGACAATCATTGGATGAGAGTAGATGTAAAGCTTGGGTAGCGGAGTGCACTGTATTATTCAATGGGATGCTAACATGGCTAGCATAACAGGTGACATCTTATACAGTCTTTCTGTCACTACGAAATGTGAAAAGCAGATAATTCCTTTCTCAGTGAGTCCTGCACAGCAACACAGTGGAAACAGCTATAGACCGTATAAACCTTTTTTATTCCAAGACTTCAAATCCGTTTATTTATGCTGTGAAGTTGGGCGTTTGCTCATCAGGGAGTAACTTAGGTGCAGTAATAAATGCAGTTAGCGTAGCACTTGAATAGTTACTTTCCAGTGTTTTTCAGTATTTCCATTAAACCCCCCAAAAATCACTTTCTGACACGATTGCTGCTCACATCACAGAGGACAGCACCTCTGTGATGTGAGGATGACGCCGCATGTTGGCGTTCCCTTCTTTGGCTGGCTCAGATACAGGCGCCTGCGGGGAAACAATGATTTTGCTTTAATCGCAGGTGGCAGAGAAATGGTTCCAGGACACTACGTACACAGTGGAAGCAGCTGCTATAACCGGGGCTTTGATTTCACTGGTGATCAAAGTGGTTTTATTCTGGGGCCTCATCAGACTGGTACACAGCTTTGGACAAGGCCTGAGGGAGAGAAGTGAGTTTACTGCTTCAGTACCTTAAGAGTTACTTTGAGCACAACACTGCATCTGCAGAACACCGAGTTAGCAGTTTCTGTTTGTTCCTAAATATCTTGAATTTGTTTGTTCGAGATGTTGATTGTAAGAAAGCCAGAGTTTTCCTGAATCTGCCAAACTTGAGCATCAGAATACTGAAACCTTTTTTTTATTGCTCTTCGCAGTGTTTGCACATAACAGGTGATAAAACATCAAGACCAAGGAAACAGCTGCACGCTGTGGGCTTAAAGCACCGTGCTGCTGACCGCGAAGCTCACATTTGTATTCAGCATCAAGTGTGCCAAAATCATCACTCAGCATTGTTTTATTTTTCTATGTTCTGTATACTGTAAGAATGTTAATGTGTTTCTGGCTTCAACGACGTCCCTGTTTACAGCATTTTAATGAATTCTCAGGCTTTGTTTGCATCTGATATGATCAGTCTGTACCTGAATACGTGCATGCATCATGACGTGCGATGCGGCTCTCTGTATTTAAAAGTCCTCACTATCCAGGTTGTGCCAACACTTTTATATTAGTGCATTATGTGTATTAGCTAAGCATGGCTCACTGAGTCTATGAGCTCCATCGTTTTTACCCCTGCCGAGCGTACGCTCTGTCGCTCTCTGTGGCACGACTAAAATATTTCCTTTGAATGTCGCCACGCAGGTAGATTGTTCTGGTATCCTGTCAACATGCGTTTGTAAACTAGCTTCATATAATCGTTTTTACACCAATATGCATTTTAACACCTAAATCGAGTTTTGTAGCGTTGCCAACATCCTCCACTTTTTAAAAAATGTGATTTCTTCCTGTAAATTGTATTCACAGTTCTATTGACTGATTTAAGTTTGCTTTTTAAAATTAGAAATGTGTAAATTAACTCGTGCAGTCGACCACCACGACTAGCCGTGTTTTTATTGACATATTTTTTAAACTGTCTGCTGCACTTTATTGCACTCTTGTTTTTTTTCATTCAAAGTTCTTAATAAAGTATTTTAACAAAAACTTTGACTTTTTGATTTACTGATCTTTTTGGGACATGCAGCTCTGTGCAAGTCTCGAGCCACTCCTCATATTTTCCTTTCAGTGAGCCAGACGTTGTTGTACTTCTCCTCCAAAGGGAGGGAGTGTGTAATCCTTCTGTTTGTCCGTCTGTTCGTTAGCAGTGTATCGCCCAGTTTTCAATATATCATTTTCAAATTTTGTGTGATGGTACATACCAATAACAGCTCGAGCTGATTTAATTTAGGGTCAAGTTCAAGGTCAGACCAAAAGTGAAAACCACTAATAACTTTATATTACCCACAATTCTTAGTGGATTGTTTTCAAACTTCACAACAATATACCAGGCCTTGTATTTGACCTTGACCATAATTGTCACTGCCCAAGAAACCATGTATCATATGAAAGGGCATGGAGAGAAGTACAACAACATTTGACATCACAATAACAGGCTGACGTCAACATAACTTTTTAAAGTGGTCTTTTCAGTCACCTTTTACACAAGGATTTTCAGAGGAATGTTTTTGTGTATGTTAAGCCACTTAAAACTGAATCATCATGAATCATTCAAGCATAAAAAACACCTTATCAAAGGATGAACTGGTGTTGTGTCTGCACATAACAGGCAACTGGGCAAAGAAGCTATTTTAAATGATTTCTTTAGGCTCTTTGTTGCTGGAAAAGTCACAAAACACGAGACAAGCATTAAAAATATTTCTGAAATAAAAAAGGTGATTTACAGAGAGCTATGAAAACCTATAACTTGGCGTGATGTGAAGTGTGTACTTAAACATTTTGGGGAAAAGGGAAAGGGAGAAGGAAAAAAAAAGGGCAGGAAAAAAAAAAAAAAAAAAATACTGATCTACAGCAGGTGAACATTATCTGAAAGTTACGTCCTTGAGAAAGAGGGGGGAAGTCAGCTGATCCATCTACTTCTCACTGAAGCCTGCACTTCACTCCATGGTGTTGGGGATCTCGAGTACCATCAGATTTTGGTCCACTGTACACCACCTGAATCGCATCCTCATCTTCAAGAAGCCTGGAGAACTATTCCCGAAGAGGAGGATGCGACTCAGGACTGTACTTAAAGTAACTCTGTGCAAATGCCCGTGATTTTATCATATAACTGGTTTCATTTGTCGAAGCACATGATCAGACCGTTGTTGGTTAAACCTGTTTATTAAATGTTTTGGGAAAAATATCAGACTCCATATTAGAAACATTAACAAGTGTACTCATACAAAATTCCCATTTACAAAAATGAAAAGCACTTTGAGAGTTGACAATGCTTCACAGAAGAGTCGTCAAAGCCTGGTTATCTTACTGAACTTCGCGTGTGTGTTTTTAAACTGAGATTAAACAGTTCAGACCGACATTTGAAATAATTCTGCCACCGTCCACGTCAGAAATGAGATTTTTCACTTTGTCCTGGAATGCAATTCAAGAGATGTTTAACTCAGTTTGTACTTCTGTCCAATGACACCGTGCTAGAAATTCAGTTGGATGAGCAGAACTACTAAAAGCAGATTGGTCTTCATCAGTGAAACAGAATTTACAACCAAAGAATGTAAAAAAAGAAAAAGAAAGTACTAAATAGATTTATTATCCATTAGTAATACATTAGAAACCGTTAATAAACACATGGACTTTACAAAATACATCTTATTCAAACATTACATTTATATACATACTCAAAGGTTTAAGGAATAATTAGCTGTTAGTGCTCGGGTGGTTTTTGTTTAGCGTTACAGATGAAAGCTAGTCATCTTTTCACCCTGACACAGTTTGTTGAGCCAATTCACAACACATATATATTAACTTCAGGGCACTAAGCCCGAACAGACATGTAAGGCAGGCCACCTCAAAGTAATCACGAAAGGCAGCACAGGGGTAAACTGATAAGAACAGATCCAAAGTCTCACGCACAGCCCATTAAACCACCCACAGCCCACAAACATTGGTCTATAAAATATACTATGGCTTAAAGCACATTTTAAAAAGCAGACTTTAAAAATACAAAGTATGAAATACGAAGACTTCCAATCTGTGATCTCTTAGCCTGGAATGGATACCGCCTTCTAGTGTTCACCCCGTGGTTGATAGTAGAGATATTACACAATGTAATAAATGACACAAACGAGTGACAATCAAGTGCTGTGAACAGCGCAGACAAACAGTCACAATGTGGTAACAATGAGAATGCACAAAAACACAAATCTGTGCAAATGTGTGATTTTAAATTTTTTTTTTTTTTAAGTGTGGTGTAAACCTTGAAAAATATTATTTCTTTACATGAATGATACCAGTGTTTAAGGCACAGTCTGTAATGTTGTGTTGCTGTTGCTAGGTAGATGTACTTTAAATCTGCTCCTTCATGAGATGCAACTAAAAAACTCTAAAAACAACATTTGCCTTTCATTAATAGCATTACATCCATTTTTATTTTTTTTTTTACCAGAGTTGGATCTTTCCTGGAAGGTGCAACTCTGCCGTCACCCCCACTGAGAGAGCTAGCTTTTACCCTGCCATCTGATTAAAAAGTGCTACGACACATCTGATAACCACCATCTGATAACCACAACTGACCTTTTTAAGTTTCAGCACAAGATCACTTCAAGTGTTGCGTTTCCTTTTCATTTTTAGTCAAAACACTTTGTTAACAAGCTGAAGTTTTAACTTCAAGAAAGGAGAGGTTTTCACAGCATTCAGATCCTGGAGTAATAGTGGAACCAAACTCCATTCAAAAATCCATCGTTTTACACACCGAACGTCCAGTGGGAACATTTGGGAAATTGTATTAATGCTTCAAAGTTCACAAAGAAAAGAAATATTTATTTGGTTTAATTTTCTTTAACTAATGCTTTTAAAAATACTCATTTATTTTTTATTTATTAAAGTCATATTTTGAATTTTAAGGGCATGTTGCAGCGTCCACATTTCAGCCAATTGCAGTAGTTACAGGAATTTAGCTTTTTACTGTCGTGAATGAAATGTTTACCAAAAAACAAGAATGATGAAGCAGTATTTTAGAAAGTAGGACTTAGTATTAGTTTTGTTTGTTTTTTTAATTAAAGGGACCTTGTATGCTTGTCCTTATTTTCTATCATATATGCACAGTGGTACACTGGTAGAGCTTCAAACTGCTCTAAATGCTCGGCCATTTTTTTCCTTCTAGTTTTGGGTATTTATGATGTCAGTGAGAACAGACAATCCCTAACCTTCTGTTTACAAAGTGCAGCCAATCAAAAGAAAGCTGTCTTCGTGAGGGGGTGGGGGAACTAAAACTGTTGCTGTGAATGTGGATGAAATGAGGGGCTGTAGCAACCTCGTTTTACTGAAAACTATTATAACAGATTTTTTATTTTTTTGAAGGGAGTTTGGTGAGACCTTCTATCTGTAAAAGATGAAAAAAGAAAAAAGAAAAAAATGGCACAGAGAACGGTCAAGCTAAAACCAAGACTTTAAGGAGACCCCGAAGAAGGCCTCAGAATTCCTCATCCTCTGAGCTGAGGTAGTTCTGCTTCTTCCTCACGTTCCAGTGTAAGCACTGGGCCAGGCTCTCGAACCAGTCATTAACCGGGTCCCGGAAGCAGATCGATGGAACAGGGAAGCAGGAAGTGGTGATGGTAATACTGGAGCAAGAATTGAAATGGAAAAAAAATAATAAATAAACGAAAGGAGTTGTACTTTTTAAGGGCTGAACAAGGAAAGAAAGTTCATTGTTTGCAGTCTTAACAAAAGAGGTGTTGTCTTCAAACTTCCTTATAAAAAGAAAACAGCAGGCATTTGCTGAGGAATCCTGGCAGCTCTCTTCCAATAACCAGAAAGCTGATTATGTTTTTGCTGAGTTACATAAAGGAAGAAGCTGGATCGGACTCAGGAGACACTCAGGGACTCAAGCCCATTAAGGCAGGTTGATAAGGTTACACAACAAAGCCTTTAAGTGTTGAGGCAGCTGCAGGGGCGTTAAACTTATCAAGTGTGTGTCTATGTCTATATCATGGCCTCGGCATGCAGACTAACCTGTCCCCGTGGCAGATCTCTTGTCTCTTTCGTCCATCAAACGACACCCATGCTGTGTTTCTGGCATCACATGAGAGCATTATCTGAGAGACAACGCAGAAAAAAATGCAGAAGTCACAGAAAGAACATGCTTCATCTTTTGTGTGCGTGGCGTTACCGCTCAGATTCAAACGAGATCTACTTGTAAGACTTGCCTGTTTCTTGTTAAAACAAATAAATAATAGCAAATGCACGTGATGAATGAGCTTTTTTGGCAAGTTCACCAGTACCTTGAGCTCCACCCCGGCCGGCACCACGATTGGCCTGAAGGAGAGAGAGTGCGGGCAGATGGGGGTGATCATGATGGCCGGGACGTTGGGATGGATCATGGAAGCTCCTGCTGCCACTGCGTACGCTGTGCTGCCTGTAGGTGTGGAGACTATCACACCTGAGTGGACAGAGATGCAAAAGCACATTTTCACTGAAGCTCAGGTACTTAACAGGATATCCAAGAGTCCCTGCAAAGGTTTGGCTACTTTTTTATTTTAGGAAGAAAAATGTCTAGAAGCTTCTGCACAAAGTTCTTCTTCTTCTACACAAGAATTACTAAGAGGTGACGGTCAGTCAGAGATGCAGGCTGAACTTTGCCCTTCTTTACACTCTTTTGATGGCTCAGTGCATTAATAAGCACATAGTGAAGCAAAACTGTTGTTAGCCTTATCAGCAAGCAGCACTGATCTGATTTCACTGTCAGCGCGCCCTGATTCTGGACGGCATCGAAGTCTCCGCGCTCTCATGCCACTCACCATCTCCCTGCACTGTAGTAATGAGGTGTCCATCCAGGAACAGGTCTACGTTAGAGAGATAGGAGGAGGGTCCTCGGTCCACCACCACCTCATTCAGTACCTGCAGATTTGTGGGAGGGAGAAAAAGAACAATTCACACATCAAACGATTTTCAATTTGCCACAACCCCCATGTCTGTTGATATGATGTCACCCACTCGCACCACATTGTTGGATTTGTGCCAGTACAAATATTTGTCAGAAGCCATTAACCTGATACGCGCGGTCAGAGCTACATTTCACTAATGACTCAGTTTGCTCCTGCTGCTCTTTAAACAGCAGGTTAACAGCCTGCAGGCGCCTTCTTTGAAGACGGTCGAGTCAGGACGAGCAAACTGCATTAGAGAGCCGTTTTGACCTATTTTTAGCGCGGGCTGAGGCTGCGAGGGGAGCTGGACCCTGCAGTTATGTGACAAAAACTTTTATCGGAGAACCAGAAGCTCTAACCTACAGGGGGACAATCGTCTGTGAATCTGCATTCTGCAGCAGGAACAGTTTGAATGTCTATGTCCCAATGCAAGGTGGACACATTACCTGATACTGCATGGCTTTGCGGCTACTTTCAATGTCCCCGTTGGTCAAAATGATCCCCTTTTCGTCCACCCTGGCCTTCTTTTCCCAGTTCTCTTTCAGCACCCGCACTTTCAAGCGACTTCTTAAGACAATGGCAGCGTTACCTGCAATCAGTACAAATGCTTTAAGCTTCCTTTACGGAAAATAACACACACAAAAAACCTTCAGTTACGCAAAAAGAATGGAAAGATTTGTACAAGTAGGTCATACGAACATGGAGGCTGAAAGACTAATGAATGTTTCCTAACCTTCAATAATTTGGTTGACCTGAGACTGGTAGTTTTCAAATTTGAATGGGGTCAGAAAGCCCAGGGAACCCAGGTGGAAGGACATGACTGGTGGAACGCTCTCCTACGATGGGAGGAGACGGTTATGTTTACAGCAGCAAAGGCAAAAACGCACAGAGTGGCGGCGCGGGCGACCAGCTGAATACCTGGAAAAGCGAAGATGCGTACAGCAAAGTTCCATCTCCACCGAGACAGATGATAAAGTCTACACGGTTGGAGATGTCGTCGAGATCTAAGAGATATGAAGACAACAACTCATTTAAATCTCTTATTTTAAAAAAAAGAAAAGTTACATACACACTTCATGTAACTGGACCAGAGATGACTGGTGTCCCTACCTTCTCTGAAAGTGCAGAATTTCTTTGTAACGGCCGCAAAGTTTTCATCGCCTGAAATGGCTGGGTCCTCCAGGACTTTCTTTTCCACGTAAACAATCATGCTTTTCACCTAAATGACACACGACAATCGAGAGCCTGTTATTTGTACTGGACATGCGGTATAACATTAACACTCAGCAGCTTCCCACCAACAAACGCTGCCCCCCCGCCCTTCGGTTTGTGGTTACCTCGGTGAGGAACCTGCAGAGCTCTTTGAAAGGCTGTAGCAGACTGGCATCTCGGATCTTCTTGATGACAAGGACACTTTTTGGTGGTTTGTTCCACGTCAGCCTCTGGCTGGCGGGATCCTGAATGTGCCTGAACAAAGAAACAGGTCAGAACAAAGACATAAATGTAAAGGGCCTGGGACGTGAGCCCCGAGATCTTAGTCAACACATCTTTTATCAGCTAACTGAAAATTCCTCTTGTTCATCGCCACTAAGGCCGCTCAGAACCTATCCAATTAGACACGTCGGCTTACTGTCTAGCTCTGCTGCCACACACTTGCGAATCTGTCTGCAGGGTTCTGACTCAACCCCATGATCATCTCGGTTATTAAAATCCTTACAAAACTGCAAAACATGCAAGAAAAAAAACAAACAAACATCTGATTAAAACGTTAAAGTAGAAACTAACAGGACGGATGAAAATCTGAAACTCTCACAGGTTAAAAAGAGATAAGTCTGCTGACCTGAGTTAGTTACAGCTCTGCCATACATATTAGGAACTTAATGACTCTACAATCAGCTGATTCTAGTTTCTGTACAAGCAGTCCCTATGCAAGAAGCATAAGAGTTACAGGAGTGAGAAGACAGAAATTATTCAGGCTCCGTCACCAGTAGCATAACTGCACAGTCAAACATTCTCTCTTTTTTTTTTTTTTTTTTTTTTTTACACACTTTCATATAAGAGCTTTTTAAAATCCTTCCTTATTGATTTTAATCAAACCGCATCAACACATTTCAGTAAATCCTTTAATATACGTTTGGATCAAACCACTAAAGCCGCTTAAAATGCATGATACAACAGGAGTATTATGCACCGACCGAGCATTAGCTTTGAAACAAAATGAACATTAATTAGCTTAGCATCAGCATGACTTTTTGTGGGGTGTTGAGCCTCGTTACAGTCAGGTGGCTAAATTACCGAGAGAAATAGATTTTCACAGAACAACTTCTCCCTTATCTGTTATCAATGAAACTTCAACATTTCAATTTCAGCTGTGGAGCGAGCATAGACCTCAAGAATGAAATAAAATCATGCGGCTATCCTGGTGCAAAAACTTCCAAAACTACTCATGACAAGACTTCAGCGCATTCATGGATACAGTTGGACATGCAAACACATACAAAAATGAATAATTAGTAAGTAATCCATTAACCTACATGAGTATTTCTGTGAAATCAGCACTGAATGTGTGGGTGACCACAGGAATCAGACAAAGTACCAAATCATATCTGTGGTGCTGAAGCTGTTCCATCAGCCTGTAACGGTTCTTCCCTCCGTGAGTGTGTTGAGACCTTACATCTCTACATATAGTTTCCAGCTTTCTGTCAACAGCAAATGCACATGGCCTACTATTTTTTTTTTTTAATACTAAAAATTTGGAAGTTGCAGCAACAACCACACTGACCCTCTTTTTCACTTCTTCTGAATCAATGTCACAGGAATCAACGCAATAGATTGACTCAACATCCTTAAAGCTTTAATCCTCACCCGAGGACATATTACATGCTTCTAAAACAGCTGCCACACTGTTAAAGCAACACACTCCTACTAACCCCATATGATAAAACAGTGACCAGTGTTTAAATTTAAAAAAAAAAAAAACCCCAAAAAACCCCCACAGCAAACACACCTACGAAACTCCCACCATAACAAAAGAAAAAGCAGTGACACATTCAGTTCCCCTTTCTTTTAAAAAAAAAAAAAACCCTAAAATGACGTAAAGACAAAATACCCCCAAATTCAAAATTAGAACAATCACAGATTACTTACAAAGGCTGTGAGGACTGGTACATTCTTTAAAACAAGAGGACTAGTTACATGTAGTGAAACATTTCGAATGATTTGGCTCTGACTGACCCGAACACACACGTGTCCCAACATCTAAAACTGAGCAGTGCAGGCCTGCTTTCAAACACAATCACATGAGACAAAAGCAAAACATCATTAGCATTTGAAGCAGCGACAAGCTGTGATCCATTCATGGACAGTTTCTCCTCTGACCACCTCAAAGCACGCTCAGCCTGACCTTCCCCTTTCAATCAGTAAGCCCGGCACACGTAAACAACAACTTTTAAATGTTTATTTCTGTTACCGAGCCGCAAAAAAAAGTGGAATTCGCTGTCTAAACTTAAGAAGCAGTTTAATATTACACACACTGCAGGTCACTGCAGTGCAACTCTCTGAACATCTGTCTGGCAGCGGTGGCATGCCAGTTAATATTTCACCTATTGAACATGTTCTCTCTGTTGAGAAAGACACAGAAGATGCTAGAAAGCCTTCTCACCATTTCCAGACCCTGTTCTCGCTGTGGCTCGCGGGAGCGTCCTGCAGTACACACTGGTTGAACTTCATAACTGTACACATGTAACGGAGATGCTGCTTCAGGATGACTCAGCTGGAGAACGGGGCTCTGTCGTCGTGGCCCGTTCTGACAAAACAGTTCATTCCGCTTCTAACTACTTCCTTGAAAGCTGCACATCATAGCAGCTGAATCAGTTTGCTTCCTGAAGTCCAGTCGCGAGTCAGCCACCGGCAGTCTGAGAGGCTGGAAGTGTCTCCATGCGCTGAAAACAACTAACAACAACAAGCAGCAACGCCACCCCTGCTGATGGATCCTCTGTGGCTATATTTGGCCCAGCGAGGACTTAACACTAAACCTTCCTGTTGCATTCTGCTGCTGAATCAGACCTCTCACTCTTCTTAAAGTTGACTTCATCGCAGACTCCGCCCACTCTGCTGTACTGAACCCGCCCATTTCTGGGAAGGACCTTCCTTGTCAGGCAGGTGTGATTATCTCAAACACTGAAACCACGCTGGTACAACTCAGAGCTCATAGACCTGGTACAATGCAATAAAAGGCCTCTTAGACCAATGGGCATGACAGATGACTAATGTGATCTATCAGCTTAAGAAAGGAAACAATCAAACACATCAACAGAGCTTTTGTTAGGAAATTATGCAATTCTGGGTTATGGCATTACACCAGGATCTATTTGAACTTCCTCATGCTCTACGGTAAGCAGAGAGACACTTAAACAATATGGGCTTTATTGAGAGGATAAACATTATAGCATAAAAATCACATTTCACACAATGATATAATGGGAACCTACAGTGTGACTGTAACAGGAAACACAAATAAGTCACAAACCAAATAAGAAGTTGCCTTCAGACATTAGCTGTCCTTAGTCTCCCCGCTGACATTTTCACATCAGTGTGCATTTATATAATTAGAAAAGCCTGAGCTGAGTCAAAGTGTATGAATAGTACCCGCTGTAAAATATTTTGGGGGCATTTCTGAGAGTCCTTTAGAAAGGTTTTAGTGGAAGATGGAGGATGATCACTAACATTACAGTAAATTTCTATAAAGCAAACAAACAAAAAACATTTTGAACTCTTCTTATTCTCTGCACGTTTGATTTGGCCCATTTTTGCACCAGATGCTCTTCCTGACAACCCTAAATGGATTTGTGTCTCCTCCCACAATCACAAATGTGTAGATCACTACACCTGTTCACTGGTATGCTAGTAATGCACACTCTGTATGAGAAGCATGGACTTCTTATCTCTGCTTGTGTGAACTGATCACGCTTGGTGCATCTCATTGGGCTTTACCTCAAAATAATATATTAAACATATTGTCACTACCATTCGGCCACTCTGGTGTAGAATAGATTCCTTAATGTACATCAACGTTAAAGAGAATATAGTTGTGATTGCTTGCAACATTATAATATTGTGGTAATGGGTGTAAGGATACAAAATAGAAAATAGGCCTGGGATGGGAACAAAGAACTGAGGTGCAGGGCAGAAGGACAATCAACCCCCACCCCCAGGGCATGAAGCAAGAGTTACTGAGGCTGAGGAGCAGACAAAGGGCAAACAGACACTACCTTAAAAGGAGGTGGGGGTCAGGGTGTCAGCACCCTTGGCCACTGTACTAGTATATTTCCATTGTGGGGATGTTTACTGTAGGGGGGAGGAGACCAGAGGTTATAACTGTAACTGTTGTGTGGAGTTCTTTAGATCAGGCTTTAGCATATGAATGCAGTGTGCTGATCTCCAGATGCATCTGTAAGAATAATGGGTAATAAAAGGATTGTGTAAAACATGGAAACATCTCAGCGTGATCTCTACCAGGACCAAAAGAATCGCAGAGACCGGCGTTGTCTCAACACTGGATAATTAAGTAGTTTTGATCACAAGGAATTAAACGTACTAGGCCAGGTTTAATTTGGTTCAATTAAATCTCTACTTAGTGGGAAAAAATTAACAAAAGTTCTGATTATGTTTTAGCAAACGTAGGCATGACATAAGCACTGTGTGCATTCAGCAGTACTTCGGATTTGACTACAGTTGCCTCAGCTCTCGTCTTTCAAGTGGAAGTCAACAAAGCAATGAGGCACAACACAGAACAAAGGGAGTAACATGGCTGGTCTTCAGAACAATGCACTGTGAAGTTTTCAGGCTGATTTAGGGTGTCGGGTATCAATGTGGCCACATGTGTCTGCAGTTCCCCGAAACAAGCCGACAGTGAGTGAAACAAGGCTGCATCCATCTGCTTTGAGCACTCTCACAGCCACACCCTTCCACAGAGAGTGATCTAAGACGCGAGTTTCCAGTTAGAAAGGTGCTACTTTACCTTTAATCACATTTCCTTCTTCCTACTGCCCTAAAGCATAGCACCTACTGGTCACAGCAGCTGAGGGTCCACAGTAGGTGCAAACATTACACTTGTAAACACTGAATATGTGAAACCAGGTTATCCTGAAAATAACTACAGTGCAGCCTTTGGAATAAAGATAGTCTGGTTTTGCTACTTTTAACCTGTCGAGCAGCTTTAAGGGAGCTAATCTGCCTGAACAAACGCAGACACTTATGTGACTGATCGAGTCAAGAGATCAACAGTTTGAATGTCAAGACTCTTTCATAACTGCAGCATGATGAGTGATCTAGGGTACAATCAAATATTGTACAAGTGATGCCAGAGACTGTAAGACACAAGTAGTGCTGACGCCTTGAACAACATTATCAAAATATGTTGGATTGCATGCAATCTTCTATGCAGAGAAACTACTGGATTCCTGTACATGAAAGTTGAAAAGGTGATTCCTTTGCAAATTTGTGAGCATCCAAGATTTGAGGAAACTTTGGCTTTTAAAAAAATGTATCAACAGAAAAACTGACCAAGAGACTGACAGCAGAAAAGATGGACGTAACCACGGCGACATCACCCAATCTGAAGCCTTGACATGATCGGTCCTGCCGCCTTCATCTTTGGTTGCAAACAACAGGATGTGACAAAAAGGGGCAGGAATGACCACAAAGCTCCTACGCTTATTCGCTAATGGTTTGTGACTGATCACCTTTTGGCCAGTGAGTGTGTAAATAACACTATTTTGAAACATAATGACAAAGATTTCCAACGAACAGACTTCCTCTTCTTTTTTTTTATTTTTTATTTTTTTAAATTGAGTGGGACGTTATACAAGTGACCGAGCCCATAAACTCGTTAGGAAAGCGTTATGTTTTCCCATAGACGTCTATAGGACCACAAAGCTTTTTGCAGCCACAGCTATGACCATTTTTTGACCTTCAGGTAGAATGCAGGTTTAAGACACTTACACTCTGGCTGCCTTTTTTTTTTTTTTTAAATTACAGTTTATGCTTGTGTCCATGAAACCAGCCATTACCACAGGAACATAAGAAAAAAAAAGAAAAGCATGCTGTTGCAAGTTGTATTACTAAATAGTCAATTAAAATCATTTTTAACGTTTATGGAGGCTCAGAACGACACAACGGTCAAATGGTAACAGCTTAAACATAGTGAAAGAGTCACATAGCCAAGCAATTATAAAGTTCAGCAATGTAAAAGTGACCCATAACTCTTCTCTTATTCTGGGTATTGTGCTCAACACACAGGACAAAGAACAGTGAGGCTGTTTTCAGCCACATGAGAAGAACTGAACAGAAATCATTGTTGATATGCTCAATCTAAGGGATCAATAAACAGTTGTAAAAGTCATTATTCGAACCTTCACGTTCCCTTCTTTCTATTTAACAACGCAACACAGCGTTCTTCGATGCTACATGTTATGTTTAAAGGTAGATGCGCAGCAGGACACTCACTTATCATCCAGACACGGCAACCAAGAAATTTATGAGGCCAAACAATCAAACACTCTTAAGTAGTCAAGGCACATGACCTTAAACCTCAAATCAAGCATGGACTGATCTGAGGTTAAAATAAAATAAAATAAAATAATT